AGATCTGCCTGCCTCTGCCTCCCAAGTGCTGGGACTACAGGCTTGTGCTACCACGCCCAGCTACAGATAGGTTTTTAAATAACTTGAGTCAGGCAGGGGCTGGAGAGATAGCTCAACAAGAGCACTGGCTGCTCTTGCAGGTTCAATTCCCAGCACCCACATGGTAGCTAACAGCCATCTGTAATTCCAGTTCCAGTGGGTCTGGCATCCTCTTCTGACCTCCATGTGCAATGCACAACACAGGTGCACTTACATACATGCAGGCAGTGCACGCATACACATAACATTTTAAAATTGGATAAAATACTAAAAAAATAAAATAACTTGATTCAGGCACAGGGGCAAAAAGCAAGGACTAAGAAAGCACAAAGAAAGAATAGTCAGGAAAGCTAGGATGTATGTCAGTAATTAAGGTACGCATAGTGGTCATAATAAAAATAAATGAGATAATTTCTCTTAGTCAGGTACTGTCAGCTCAAGTTCAATTGCAGATACAGCTCTGTTCTGTTAGAAGACGAATGCTAATTCACACTGGAAGTAAAGGATGGGCTGCGTGTTAGCTTGCAGCAGCCACTGATCTGTGATGGTGGAGAAAGAGGACATTTAATAGTTAGTGACACTTAATAGTCATCTGGTAGAAATTCTAATAGGATCTTTTGCATATCAAACAGCACAAAATAAAAAACAAAAATGTCAAAAATATTTGGGAGCTTTTATCTAATCCTTAAAAGATTTTAGGGTTACTCTTCAGAGGGGGTATGTCAGAGTAGCCAAAAGCCCCATTAAAAAAAAATAATAAAGAAGAAAGAGTACATGAAGTTATCAGAAAAAAAGTGATGGGGAGATTTGGGAGGAGTTGGAGGGGAGGGAGTGGGCAGGAATGGGCATGGATTTGATCAAAACACCTTATATGCATGTATGAAATTCTCAAAAAATTATTTACTTTTTAACAAAACATTATTCCCAAACTCTTGGACATAAAAAATTTAAGAAAACCATATCCACAGTAGGTATACTGTAGCTACATGTTTCCAGATTTTGCAACCACATAGGTAAACCAAAACTGTCAGAATATAGAGGCTTTGAGTAATGAATAGAGGTTTGGTTTTTTTGTATATATACACAAACAGGCAACTTTAATAAACAGAATGTTTCTTTCAAATATTTTATCACTCTAAAACCAAATTGCAAAAAGTACCCTAAAGCAGAATAGGAAGGAAGATGAGACTGTCACACACCAGTATGTTTGGTTTAGAAGCAGCCATAACCTTGAGTTCTTTTTAAAATTCTTTAATTTATTATTATTACTTTTTTCAATGTGTATGTGTGTGTTGCCTCATGTAGATAAGTGCACCCATGTCATGCAATGCCCATGGAGAATAGAAGAGACTGTTGGAACTCCTGGAACTGGAGTTATGGACAATTGTTAGCTGCCTTGTGGGTGCTGGGATTCGAACCTGGGTGTTCTGCAAGAACAATCAGTGGTCTTAATTGCTGAGCCATCTCTCCAGCCCAATTTTTTAAAAAAAATTTATACATATGAATGTTTTGCATGTATGTTTATGTGTACTGCATGCATGCATTGCTTGCAGAAGCAAGAAGAGGGCATCAGATCCCCCTAGAACTGTAGTTACAGATGTCTGTGAGCTGCCATGTGGGTGATGGATCCAAACCTAGTCCTCTGCAACAGAGTAGACAGTGCTCTTAACTGCTGAGCCCCATAATCTTGAATTCTTGATTTTAGAATAAGTCATTTCATGATAGTTAGTGAAAAACACTGTGACATTGGATGTTGAGACTGCCAAAGAGGAGGTGGGAAGAGAATAGGAGATTGAGTCTAAAGATTATAGTACTATGCAAGAGCGTAATAACTTATGCTAAAATGATGGTCATTGTGGTAAAAGATAATGAAAAGCTACAGAACTTAGATCAGCAGAGATTGCCGAAGAAATGCACAAGCAAGGCATTCAAAATCAAGGAACGATTCTGGAAACTAACATTTTTTTATGTACATAAAAGTGTGTGTGTGTGTGTGTGTGTGTGTGTGTGTGCGCGCGCGCGCGCGCGTGCGCGCGTGCGCGTTAACTTCGTGCTTAGAACAGTTGCCTGTTGACTTTTGAAAATTTATTTAGTGCTAGGCTTAACCCCTGTCCTCACACATGTTGACTGTGCACTGAGTGGCACTCATAGCCTACCATTTACTTCTAAAGGTAGATTCCTTCTTTTCACTACACATCACAAGTCCTAGTTGGTCACAAATTCCTGGCAAATCCTGAAAGAAAGCATATGGAAAGTTTTGTTTACTTTGGGTAACAAGTGCCTGTGACATAAGATGCTCATACACAGACAGCCCTCAATGTACAGTGGATCAACTTGCAGGTTTTCAACCTTGCTTTCAATGAGAAATCAATAAATTATAAGACATTTTTAATACTTCATTAAATTGTAGTCTCCTTTTTTAAAAGCTTTAAGTGTACAAGTGTTCTCCCTGCATGTATATATATATATGAACCACATGCCTTTCTAGTGACCTCGGAGGCCAGAAGAGGGCCTTGGATCCCTTGGAAATGGAGTTACAGACAGTTATAAACCACCATGTGGGTGCTGGTAACTGAAGGAAGAGCAGCCAGGACTTTTAACCACTGAGCCAACTCTCTATTCTGAGAATAATTTTTGTGGTAGATGTTTTATTCAAATGTAAGTCAATAAAAGTGTTCTGAATGCATTTAAAACAGACTAGGCTTAGCTGTGATGTTCACTAGGTTAGATACATTAAATATATTTGGGGTTTGTAGTATTTTCAGCTTAGAATGGGTTTATCAAGGTGTAATTCCACTGAGTCAAGGGACACTCATGTTCTTATACATCTTTATGCATACATACATGGTTTTGTTTTGGTTTTTGGTTTTTGGTTTTTTTTTCCATAGTTATAGCCCTGTCCTGAAAGTAGGAATAGCAACATGGTAATGGGGGTAAATATTTATTTGTGGCTTTAATTCTTGCCAAACAGACTGTGATTAAGATCAAACCTTATACCTGCCCTTACTCTGATCTTTTTGTGTGGCCTTTTTGAGTCTTTGAACTGGTTTGTAAGGACTTTATTTGAAATTGTTAACCATGCCTGTGCTATGATAACGATCACTTAATGTTTTTGGTGGGTTTCCCCTGAAAAATAGAGTTTCATTATTTGTTATCAGTCATTGTTTTAGCAGCATGGAGTAAACTTGATGCCCTTATAACTTGCATATTTTTTATTTTTAACATTTTTTGAATTGAATTCTATAATAGTATAGGCTTTTCAATGTTGCAAAACTCGCCTGAGTTAATTACTGTACATACTTTGTTTTCTGGAATGTCAAAGTCCAGAAAACTCCTCACTCCCATTCTCCATTGTTGATGCTTTACCATGTTCTACATCTAGTTTTCCTCTCTTTTCCCTTCGTAGTCTTTGCCTCTTTCTCCTTGTGTGACAGTCTGAGCTGAGAACAAATTATTTACATAATTCTTCCTTATGCCTAAACGTCTCCGTGCCAGGACATTTTCCCATGTAACTGTACTATAGTCATCAAAATCAGGAAATTAACATTGATTTAATAGTATTATAACTACCAGTTGTAATAGTTGTCCTTTATAAAGTAAATTTATGAATAATAAGTAAAAATGCATGTTTGGGCCATGCTCCAAGTCAGGCCTTGCATGGCGTTTAGTTGTTACGTGCCTTTAATCTTTAATCTGGGTTATTTCTTCACTGTGCCTTTGCTTTATATTTCTGAAAAGCAACTACTTTGAGAACATTTAAAATTTTTTAAACAGTGCATCACTTTGAGAATGCTTTTCAACTTGGGCTTTTATGGTTTTTTTCCTTGGGTACCTTCCTGGGCAGATACTGGATGTTGGTAAGCATTATTATTGTCCAAAAATGTTCAAGTCGTTAGAAAATATTTGGCATTACTGTTTGAATTAGGTAAGCCCAGATGCAAGACTAATGTAGTAAGCCTGGCCTGGTGATCCTAGTACTGGGGAGGCTGGGGTAAGTGAATCCCAGCCTCAAGGCCTACTTGGGGTAGGGTGGGTTAAGGCCATTAGGATAAGCTTAAGGAGACCTTGCCTCAGGAAAAAAAAAAAATTTTTTTTTTAAGTATTTAGAAGAGGGAATGGGGAGTCTGAGGATTTAGCTCATTGATTGAGTTCTGAGTTTAGTCTCAAATAGTACAAAAAATAAAAATAAATAAAAAAGGAATATGAATAACTAATCTCAAAAAGATGGGTACATACAGCATAAAAAATGTTCACCTATGTAATATTCACTTGGTGATACACTTTTTAATTTCATCATTTGAGAGGTGGAAGCAAGAGCATCAGGAACCCAAGGTCATCCTCACATGGATAGAGAGCTCAAAGCCACCCTGGGCTATATGAGATCCTATCTCAAAAAAAAATTTTTTTTCTTTATTTTTATTTTATGTGTATGAGTATTGCCTGCACATATGTAAGTACACCCGAGTCCTGCAGTATACAAGGAGGACAGAAGAGGCTGTTGGATCCCCTGGAACTGGAGTTACAGATGGTTGTT